ACATGGTCACAGTGACGCAGGGAGAGACTGACACACACAGCACACTTATATCACGGCATCACACAGAAGCCCACAGATGCCACGACAACGTGACGCAGGCCCGAGGTCCAGGGCACGCGCAGCTCTGGGGCAGGTGCTGTGGGTGAAGCAGGAAGCACAACTCAGGCCCCGTTCTGTGGAGGTGGCTTCCAGTAGAGACCGGCCCACCAGCTGCGGAGCAGTAAGAGAAGACAAACCAAGGAAAGGGGTCCGAGAGTGACGGAGTGGCTGCTGTAGAGGATGTAGCCAAGAGCTCCCTGGGGAGATGCTGCGGAGAAGAGAGGAAGGGGGCCAGGGGAAATGTGGGTGGGTGGCACATGCAAAGGCCCTGGGGTGGGCACCTGCTGGTCTATGTGGGAAGCAGCCAAGTGGTGCCAAAGGTATTGCGGATTTGTGAGTGGTCAGAAAATTAAGTTAGAGGGACTGAGGGGGAGGCATATGCTGCGGTCTGTGATATGAGCTCTGGATTTTATTTTAATCAGAACAGGTGGAAGGCTGCTTGGACAGTGGCTGAAGGCATGGAGAAAATAAGACAGAAATGACAATCGGGACCAACATGTGTCTGCCTGTGTGTCCAGTGCTCCAACGGAGGGCCTGGCACATATGCCCAACAACAAACTGTGTTTACAGGCGTGAACAAGACCTGGAGTGTCAGAGGAAAAGTCAGAGCCATCCAGCTGAGTGCACAGGCTCACAGATCCCCGGGGAGAGGCCAGCTGAGGACCTAGGGACACCCAGGGACAGCAGAAGCAGACAGAGACAGCAAGCTGGCTGAGAAGTCCCATTCCTTCCAGAACCGTTCCCGCCCGGAAAGCTTCCCAGGAGCTGGGATCCCCCTCCCCCGGGCCCCTTGCCCGCTGCACTGTGGCGTGCCCACTCACACCTTGGGCAGAGGAAGCTGGCAGGCCCCACAGGAACCTTGCCGTGCAGGGGGAGTAGGGGTGGGCGGGCCGCAGGGACGAAGGGAGAGGAGCGGTGAGCAGGCGGGCAGCGGGCAGCGGCTACACAAAGGCCCCAGTGTCTGTCCGTCCTGCCCCCGGCCCAGATATAAATAATATGTACATACGCCTTTATATATATACCAGCCGACTGGCGCGGGACACGGGGCTGCATTCTCCTTTAGGGGCCCTGGTGTGGCAGATTCTGCCCCTGCAGGGTCGGGGGCACAGAGACCCTTAGACAGTGGCTGGGACTAAGTGGCTCATACTAAGAGGGAAGAAGAAAGACTTCTAAAGTACAGGCGGGCAAGAGAGAATCCAGAGTTAGAGAGTGGTGCCCAGAGTGGCAAATGCCTTTGGAGACACATCAGAGAGATGGCTGGGGAGAGAAAGAGATGAGGGAGTAGGACAGCGACAAAATGAAAGCAAAGGTCATCCCAGAGAAAGGCAGAGAGTGCCACAGCGACACCTCAGTGAGAGAGGAAAAAAGGAATAGAAACAGTGACGAGTGAGGACACCCACAGAGACACACAACAACAGACAAATGCCAGGCTGAGCCACAGCTGGGGGCAGGGAAACCAGTGCCTGAGGGAGGGCAGCAGTCTCCAGGCCGGGGCACCCGCTGCGGGGCTGTGGTCCAGCCCTGCCCAGGGCAGCTGAGGGGCTGGGAGCAGAGGTGAGGGAGGTGCCCGTGGGTTCCGGGTCCTGCTGTTTACCTGGGGCAGGCCTTGCAAACAGGCGCCCAGCCTGGCCCGTGGCAGGGAGGGTGGGCTGGGCTGGGCCCCAGGCCTGGCACCAGTGGGCCTGACCCGCCCACCTGTGGCCTGGGTGGTGAGTAACACACCTGGGTAGATGGTGACACATAGGGGAACAGACGTAGTGACACCCAGTGACAGATACAGGCTGTGGCATGGTGACGGGTTGAGAGACTAAGGGTGACAGAGACACGCTGTAACACACAGTGACACATAGTGGTGGACACGGCACACTGACAGGTATATGTGTCGTTAGGCACAGAGACATAGTGACAAAACAAACACAGTGACAGACATACAGAAGACAATGATAGAACTAAAAGAAAGACATGGCCACAGTGACCCAGGAGAGACTCTGACAGACGCACAGCATGTACACTAATATCACGGCATCACACAGAAGCCCACAGATGCCATGACACCAGGATATAAGCCCGAGGCCCAGAGACACACACGCACATGCACCCAGATTGCCGGCTCCTGGCATGGGGGGTTGGGAGGCTCTCCTCTCCACAGGTTGTGGCAAGAAGTGAGGGTGACTTCTAGAAAGGGCTTGGGACCTTTGGGCCCTGCTGTGCTGCTGTGGACCCTCAGCCCTCCAGAGTAGTGCAGGGGTGGAGGGTAGACGCTGCCAGGGGGCCTTAGCTTAGTCCTAGCACCCTTCCCACTAGCTGTGTGACCTAGGGCAAGTCACTCCACCTCTCTGTGCCTCAGTTTCCAAGCATAAAGTGAAGGGGATTAGAAGGGGTTGGATCAGTCACTTCAATAGTCACAGAATGCAGGACAAATGTAAGACCTAGTAGCTTTTAAATGTCATTACGTATTATCATGACGGTCGAGCTTTCTGAGACAGATGGCCTTCTGACCACAGCTAGGGCCTGCCCTGGCCTCTCTTTTGCCACCCATGGGCCCCTCCCTTGGACTGTGTCACCTCAGGCCCACAGCCCAGGAAACCCTGTGTCCCAATGGCTCCCCTTCCATCCCTGATCCCCGGCGTCCTCGTGTCTGTCCATGCGTCCCACGTCTGACTGTGGTACTTTTCCACGCTGGACACCAGCCGGCTGTCCCTGGGTGGGGGTCACACCTGCCCACGCCAGACCAGCCAGTGGCCACCAGACACCCTGACGGATGGCCCCACCCTCCCCTAAGGACCCTACAACAACACCCCACCCCTCCGGCCACCTGAGGTCCCCACTGGGGCAGCCTCGGCCTGAGCCTGGGGACAGGAAGCCCCAGGCCTGGCTGCCCTGAAAGCCTCTTTCAGCCGGAGCCTCTCCCGCCACCACCGACTCCTCCCGCAGAATAATATTTGGGCTGTTGGCCGGGGGGCGGGGGCCAGATCCGGAGGCCGCCGGGGAGAAGCCAGAAACCACAGGGCTTCCTGCCTCGGGCCGCCGGCTTGGGAGAGACCCCCAGGCCCGAGGGAGGGGCGGGGGCCGGGGAGACTGAAGGCCTTTCTCTGGGCCCAGTTGTTTTTTCCAGGAACCAGGAGGAATTCCCCGGCCTGCCCGGGACAGCAAGGCTGGTGGGACGCAGACAGGGAGCCAGCATGGCAGGGGGCGGAGGGTGACCCGCAGCAACCGGCAAGGCGGGCACAGTGACAGAAATAGAGGGCCTGGCCAGCGAGTGGCAGGTACAGGCGGAAACTCAGGAAGCTGGGAAAGGGAGAGAGACCAGGGAAGAAGAGACCAGAGAGCTAGAAAAAGAGCACAGGAGATGGACTCCAAGAAAGGAAGCCAGAGATTCAGCGAGAATGAGCGTTAGAAAGAAAGACAGAAAAATGAGAGGGAGAGAGAACACTAAGAAACAAGGAGAATGAAAGATGCACACTGCAGACATCTCATGTACTGAGGTGCATGAAATGAGAGCCTTCCTCTGCGAGGCTGAGGCAGGGGCATTGCAAGTTTAGACCAGCCTGAGCTACAAAGTGGGCTGAATGGCTAGGCCCTGTCTCAAAAAAAAAAAAAAATGTTGAGTATATAGTTCAGGATAGCTAAGGCTCAGGGTTCAACCTTCAGTATAAGAAGGATAAAAAAAAAAAAAAACTTCGATTTTTGAAGATTCAGTCCACCATTGGCCGACTGAAGACTGAATGAGTAACGAACAAAAGGACATCATACAAGGCAAATGCAAAGACACCGTGGGATGAACCCTGGCCACCTGTCTTGGCCCTACTGGGTGACCTCAGTCAGCTCCTTCCCATTCTGATGCCTCAGTTTCCACTCTACAAGGAAGAGTCTGATTCACACAAATGCATTTCTGAGAGGCACCTCCTGAAGGGGCAGAAGTGAAGCCTGGATCCCCAGCCCAGAGACCCACAGCAGCCAAAGGACTTGGCTCCCGTCCTACTTGCCTGGCCACAAAAGTGACAGACACGTGGCCCAGGCCAGCAGACCCTCTACACAGACCAACAGTTACAGATGCACAGCCATGAGAGGTGACAGACAAGACAGACAGACAGACAGACAGACAGACAGACAGACAGACACACACACACACACACATACACTCAAGTCACTTGCTGTGCACCATGGAGCGGAAGCTGACTCCTAGAGATACTTTGTGGAACACAGTGGACAACGTGGGTCCTCACTCTCCTGAGTCACTGCTAAGTATTACATGCAGTAATGTAGAGACCCACAGGTAACAGTGTGAGATCCAGGATAGGTGTACAAAGAGAATCACAAACACACAACAATAATGACACATACACGAAGTCTGAGACACCCACGTGAAGCCCACACCTGGAGTGTGGACAGACACACCAACCCACCCAGTTGACCAGTAACGTGACAAATGATCTTATTATAGACTATGGGTACCCCAGTGAGCATGGTGATTTGTCCCGAACCCACAGAACGCGCACACACACACACACACACACACACACCATCTCCAGTTTAACACATCTATCTTTTCCCTTCTTCCCAGTTTAACAGAAAACCAAGCAGCCCCTAGGGACCCACATCGCAGAGCTAGAAGTGTGTGTTTGGGGAGTGGGGGTGGGGAGATGGCCTTGGTCACCGCTGAGCCACCTCCCCCTACTGCCCTGGCCCCAAGGCTGCGGGGGCTGTTATCTGTGAACAAACTGTCCTTGGGGTCAGGGACAGCAAAGAGCCAAAGGTCAGGTGGATGCCTACCCCAGCCCTTCCCCCAGTGGCAGCCGTTTTGGGGGTGGGAAGGAGAGTGAGGGGACAAGGGAACAGAAAGGAACAAGAAGTCAGGTGTTCAAGCCCCACAGGGCCCACCAAGGAAAAGAGACATCCAGTAAGAGGTGGAATCGGTGCCTTTAATGTCAAACATAGCCAATATCCCGCTCCCCAGGCAAGAATTTGACTTCAGTAGAAATTCCCCACACCCTAGCTAGCCCTTTCTGGTTTCCCTTGGACACCGCTGGAGGCTGGGTGTCAGAGAAAATGAAGGCATCTTCTCATCCGCATCCCTCTCCTAGTCCACACCAAAGCTACAGTGATAACAGCCAACACAGGGCCACAGTGGCTGTAAAGCCACCATAATGGTCAATGGCATACTGATGCCACATGGCCAATACTGTGGTCCTCCAAGCACCCCATGGGCCAAAAGAGATGTTATGCAGGATGCCAGCCAAGTTGGCATCTACTGCGCCAAATCCACCAAAATACAAATCATCCCAGCACCCAGTGGGTCACAGGAGATGTCACTAAATGGTATCACCACACCCAAAGGGCCAACTCAGATGTCATCCCAGATGGCAGCTATTGAAGCGCCCAAGGCTTCAGCCAGTAACATCAGTCAGCATGGCAGCCTTGGAAGCAGCCCATGGGGTCACCAGTGTTGTTCATGGTGGTTGTCACAGTACTCAGTGAGTCATCACAGTAATAGACAAAATGGCACAAGCAGAGTGGCACTGGAAGGATCAGGCCTGAAGAGCCTGAAGACAGGAAGAAGCCATGGCCATACCCCACCACCACATTCCACCTCCCTGCTAGGATGCATTAAGCAGAGAGCGGGAATAGAGGCCCTGGTAGTAGACCCCAGACTCCCCATTCTCAGCCCCATAACCCCCAAACCCCACGTCCAGTTTGGGAGGCGCTGGTGTCTGTTCCGACATCAGGTTGTTGATGGAGAAAGGGTGGTTGAAGTTGTAGGGGGCATCGAGCTTCAGCTCCCCTGGGAGCTCCAGGCCAGTGAAGTAGGGTGTGGAAGAAGTGGGCGAGCCACAGTCCAGAGCCCCCACGTCCTCCCCTGCACCCTGGGCCTCAGGCTCAGGGCGTGGGGGCGGGGCCTGCGCTGGGGAGGTCACAGCGGCAGCAGCGGTGGTGGATGGAGCAGCAGACCCTGTGGCGGCCCTGGCAGCAGAGGTCCCGCTGGTCCCTTTCTTCACCTTCTCCTCCAGCTTGAAGCGCTTCTGACGGCGCAGGTAGCAGCCATTCTCGAACATGTTTCCCGAGCTGGGGTGCAGCGCCCAGTAGGAGCCCTTACCCGGCTTGTCCGGGGAGCGCGCCACCTTGACAAAGCAGTCGTTGAAGGACAGTGAGTGGCGGATGGAGTTCTGCCAGCGCTGCTGGTTCTCCCGGTAGTACGGGAAGAGGTCCATGATCCACTGGTAGATCTCACTCAGTGTGAGCATCTTGCCGGGTGCCTGCTGGATGGCCATGGTTATGAGCGAGATGTAGGAATACGGTGGCTTGGCATGGGCCAGAGGTCGCCGGTAGCCCTTGGGCATCTCCTTCTCGTGCACCAGCCCGGCCCCTGGGCTCCCATACCCTGAGCTGCTACCTCCACCACTGCTGGCACCCAGGCCAGGGAAGGTGGGCCCCAGGGGTGCTGATGGGGTGGGTGGTGCCAGGGGTCCGGAGGGCAGTGGGGAGGCAGGAAGCCCCCCAGGGGAGTAGGGAGAGCTTAGAGGGTTTAAGGTCATGTAGGAGTTGAGAGGTGTCATGGTAGGCACTGGGGTCACTGGAGAGTAGACCTGCAGGGAGAGAAAGGTGGGGAAAGGTCAGTCAGAGACCGCAGGACCCGCTGTGAGACTGTCCACCTCTCTCTGTCCTGCCTCCACACTCAGGCACAGTGGTGCACACCTGTAACCTCAGCACTCTGGGAGGCTGAGGCAAGACAACTGAAAATTCAAGTCTAGCCTGGGCAACGTGCTGTCTCCGCAAGACTACAAGTCCCTACTAATCATTACCTCTCTCTGGAGACAGCTGACTCCTGAAATCCCTTCCTCACCCTCCTGTAACCACTCTGCACACCCCCATCCTCCTGCCTACGCACCACGCCCCCATACACACGAGGTCACACTTTTTTTTTAATTTCAATTTTATGTATTTGGTACAGGGTCTCACTACACAGCTTGGACTTGTAGTGATCCTCCTGTTTGCAGCCTGCCCAACACTGGGATTACAGGCATGTGCCACCACACTTGGTCTCCATGGCAGCTTGACAAGCCTGAGGCGGAGCCAGCATGGCATGCAGTACTGGGGATCGAACCTGGGTCCTTGTGCTTGCCTAGACAGGCACTTAGAACAATAGACTATCTCCACGGCCCAAGATGTCACACTTGAAGTGGGCCTCAAAGTGTATTCCAGGCTGAGTATGGTGGCACACACCTGTAATCCCAGTACTTGGGAGGCTGAGGCAGGAGGATTGTTGTGAGTTCGTGGCCAGCCTGGGCTACAAAAATGAGTTCAAGTGTACCAGCCTGAACTACAGAGTGAACGCCTGCCTCAAAAAGACAAAAAAAAAGAAAAAAAAAAGTGTGTTCTGGGCACCTTGGGGAGTCCCTGAGGTCAAAACCTTCTTCCAAATCACATCAAGACATTACTGTCCTTTCTCACTCCCTTTTTCAGGAGCATTCAGTGGAGTTTTCTAGGTTTCAGGACATGTGATATTGAGACACACAAGGCAGAAGCAACTGACACTCCAGCTGTCTTCTATTGAGACAGACTTAGTTGCAAAAATTAGACACCATTTTTCTCATTCAACTTTTTTTTGGTTTTGGGAATTGAACTCAGGACCTTGTGCTTGCCAAGCTGGAGGCTTGCTGCTGAGCTGTATCCACAGCCCCTCATACAACTTTTGAAACATAGTATCTTTCTTTGTTATTGTTTGAGTGGTCTTGAACTCACTATGTAGCCCAGGCTGGTCTCTAACTCATAGGAGCCTCCTGCCTCAGCCTCCCAAGTGCAGGATCACAGGCATGTGCCACCATACTTGGCCCAGAACACACCTGGCTCGGCTCTGAAACATAATCATTTTAATAAAGAAATGAGTCTGAGGCATGGTAGTGCACGCCTGTAATCCCAGCACTGGGGAGGCTGAAAACAGGTGGATCATTATGCGTCTGAGCTGTGAAGTGAGACTTTATACCAAATGCATTAATTTAAAAAAAAAAAAGTACTGAGGATTGAACCTAGGATCTTTGCATTAAGCAACATCCACATTCCCAGTCCTTTTTTTATTTTTTTAATTTGAGACAGGACCTTGCTGAATAGCAGAGTTGTCCGGGCTGGACCTGAACTTGCCATCCTCCTGCCTCAGCCTCCCAGACAGCTGGGACTACAGGTGATTTCAGCCATATTCAGCCGTGATGTCCAGTTTACACTGGATTAATACACAATTAACACATTTAAAATTTTTCTTAGTTTCAATTTTGAATGTGGTACATACCAGTGCATATAATCCACATTAACAGAAACTACTTAGGACCTTCAATCATTCTTTTCTTTCATTTTATGTATTTGGTGCAGGGTCTCACTATGCAGCTTGGACTCACAGTGGTCCTCCTGCTTTCAGCCTCCCCAGTGCTGGGATTACAGCCTATACTCGGTTGCCCACTCAGTGGGAGGTGGGGCCAGCGCAGCATGCAGGACCAGGGTTCAATCTTTTTTTTTTTTTCAGTCCCAGGGATTGAACTCAGTACCCTGCACTTGCCAGGCAAGCGCTGAGCTCTCTCCCTGGCCCAAGGTTCAATCATTTTTAAGAATTATGGAGGTCCTGAGACTGAAAAATTTTAGAAATCAATTGTTTTGCAAAATCATTTTTTTGATTTGAAAAAAATTGAGAAATTAATCAAAATTGTCCGTCTCCTACAAAATTGATTTTCTAATAAACGATGGTTCAATTTTAATAAGAAATTAAGATAAATCTCTAATAATCCAGCCAATTGTGGGTAGCTATCCCTCTTTTAGATTATAAACCTAATAGGTCCTTCTTTCTTTTTCTTTCTTTCTTTCTTTCCTTTAAACGAGAACTCAAAACATTGCCCAGGTTGATCTTTGAACTCCAGTACTTAAGTGATTTTTCTGCTTCAGCCACCCACACAGATGGGACTACAAAGGTATGCTGTCGCTCCCAGCTTCAAAATTATTGGTTTTATTTTAGTTTTTTACTCTTTTTTCGCTTTAGGGGGTGGGGTGCGAACAGGGTTTCTCTATGTGGCTCAGGCTGGCCTGAAACTCATGGCAACCCTCCTGCCTCAGCCTCTTGAGTGCCGAGATTACAGGTGTGTGCCACCACACCTGGCAAAGTAATTATTGTTTTTATAGGTTAAAATTTTCATCTGGCTAACACAGATGTGAGTGCCTATAATCCTGGCACTCAGGAGAACCTTAAGTTTGAATCAAATCTGAACTACCTACCTATCAAGACCCTGGTCCCCCCCCCCCCCCCCCAAAAGCCCCAAAACAAACAAACAAACAAACAAAAAACAGCACCTGCTCTGGCAGCACATATGCTAAAAAAAACCAACAACAAAAACCACGATTAGAAATCACATTTCAATAAAAAATATATCACTAGCTGGGTGTAGTGACACACACCTGTCATCCCAGCACTCAGGAGGCTGAGGCAGGAGGATCATTTCAAGTTTGAGACCAGCCTGGGCTACAAAGTGAATTCAAGACCAGCTCGAACCACATAGCAAGACCCCGTCTCAAAAAGACACAAATACCCGGTTCCACCAAAATAAATAAATAAATACATAAATAAATACATAAATAAATACATAAATAAGTAAATAAAATAAATCACACATCAATTTCTCTATGTGATCAAGTCTAAGATTCTCTGTAAGCGATAATACCTTGAAATAGCAATACAAATGGAACTACACTTAGTTAAAATCTCCAGCTACCATTGGTTGTAAAACATATTCCATTTCCTTTTTTTCTTTCCTTTTTTTTTTTTTTTTTTCTTTTCTTTTTTTTTTTTTTTTTTTTTTTTTTTTTTTTT